GAGACTACAATTTGTATGCATTACGGCTGTAAAACCGAACTACTCCTCTGGTCTTCGTGTTGGTTGCAACTGTAGGTTTTGCTCAGAGACCACGTTCAAAGCTTGTCCAATGGGACTTTTACGCTTTGGTTTGACGGATATGATGAAAACTCATAAATCGGACGTCTTCTTCTGCTCAAACTCTGTGCTCTGTGTTTCATCTTCAAGACCACGACAAGTCCTCTGTGATTGAAGGCAGAGACATTCGTCTAAATGGAAAAGGGAAGAAAATTCGCAAGCCTCGGACCATCTACTCCAGTCTGCAGCTGCAGGCTCTGCACCAGCGCTTCCAGCAGACACAGTATCTGGCCTTACCGGAGCGCGCAGACCTTGCGGCAAAGCTGGGGCTCACACAAACTCAGGTAGGCCTTAAACGCATCACTTTGCGAGGCTCTCTATCGTTTATGCACTGTATTAACTAATAACCGGATTATTTAGGAAGATGTAGTGAAAGCTAGAAATAGTCAATATGTTATGGTTAAAATGACTCCCTTGCAAAATTTCCACTCCTTGTATAGACTAATAATTTATATACAACAATTTTGAATCAGTGTGACTCATGGTAGACTGAATAAAATATATGTATTAGTGAAAGAGGATAGTGTTGGATATTATTGAAAAGAAATACTTGCAGCATTATCGAGGATCACAGCAATTTCATACCCCTATCCATTAATGCATTCCTTATTTACTTAATTTCTGGCTGTATCTCTTTTGTCATTTGCGGTCCTTGAAGTGTTTTTTGTGATCAGTGGCTGCAGTAGGAACAAAATTACCAAAAGGAGGAAAAATATATGCAAAAGCAGTGGTTGGCAGATGTTTTGCAGTAGTTTATTATAGAGCATTAAACCAGCCCCTAACAATGAGATATGCTTGTATTTATTCGTTTTTACGTACTTTTTTACGGTGTAGTTGTAAGTCTTTCAGTACCTATAGGCCACACAAGCACACATGCACACGCACTATAATAATTACACGCGTTTCCAAGACAAACAGGTGCACGTGTCAACTGACGCCCCTCGGATGGGACAAAAATGAGACCTTTGGATCACTTTTTTTTGTTTCAGTTGAGTTCTAAAGTTAAACGATTAAGTCGTCAGAGTTTTAAAATAGAAGATAAACAATATTATGAAATCCACCCTGTCATCTCAGCCGCCTCCTGCACTTTATTCTTAATCCCTGAACACTTCTCCCGACAATTATCTCCCAGTTGTTCTGCCATTCGTGTGGTTGTTGGTGCTGTTGTTGTTGCCTAGATATCCAGCGGGCTCTTTTGTGCTTTCTTTTTAAAAAAATGAATATTCACACCATTGTTCTCGGGTATAAAAATAGCCACCATGAACTGAACCCACAAACATTTTCGCTGACCTATCACGGCGCGTTTGGAGCCGCTTTTATTTCACAATTCTTTCAGTCCTGGCTTGTTGCTGTCACACTCATGCATCACTAGACTTATAAAACAGCGAACAATAAAAGGGCTTAGCTTTAATGGGTAACAAGTGGCACTCATCTGCAAGGCTGAATAGCTAACTGTGCGCCAAGATTAGGCCTGGGACTTGCAAAAACAACCCCAAAAGATGAGTTATTATGAGTTTTACTTTCTTTATTGCTCACAGTGTTCCCTTCGGGGTAGTTTATGATGAAAAGAGCACCGAGTTTAATGCGGGGGAAATATGCTAATAAAAAGAAAACGACAATTAGATTTCTTTTATATTGCTGCTGATTGTTAACTGCAGTGACAATTATGCCCATTTTCTCTTTTGTTCTCCCACTTTAGGTGAAAATATGGTTTCAAAATAAGCGCTCCAAGTACAAAAAGATCATGAAGCATGGCAGCGGATCAGAGGGAGAACATCTCCACGGCACCAGCTCCATCTCTCCCTGCTCGCCCGCATTGCCCCAGCTATGGGAGGTCTCTATGGCGAACAAAGGAGCCCCGGTCCATCCGAGCAGTTACATGAACACTTTCGGTCATTGGTATCCGAATCATCACCCTCATCATCAGGACGCGATGCACAGGCCTCAGATGATGTGAGTGGACAGTTTTTGGACACTTGAGTCCATCGGGCTGCACTGAACTTGCTGGTGCCTCCAGAGGCCTCCTCTCAGAACTGAGAGTTTAGGAGACCTTGTTTATATTCACTGTATTTTGTGTGTGTTTTGAATTTTAAAATTCTCACTACAAGAACTATTCAGGCATCAAAGAAAAAAAAGGGAGGGGCGTTATATCACTGCAAGCTCTTGTTGCAGGGTCTGACATCAGTGAAACGTGGGTTTGTGTGTGCAGTTTAAAAGACATTCTGGATAAAAGAACTTTTTTCAAATATACTGTGTCCGTGCGTCTGCTTTATTAGCCAGCAGTTAACCAGCTGTCACTTTATTGTCACTAAATGTCTTTGCTTAGGTTTCTTTATCTTCCCCTCACTTTCAGGTAATTTCAAAAGAAAGATGGAATTGCCGGTTCCTTAAAGAAGCCTGGATTAATAACAACCGGTGCTATGAGACACTGACAAACACAAGCTTAAACTCTTCAGAGCTTTCTGAGCATTGCACAGCTCGGCCTGTGATAATGCCTTGCGAGAATAAAAGCTGTCTTTTGTCCATCAACACTCCTGAACTGCGATTCACAAAAACCTGCGACCCTGCTTGAATTTCGACAGCCATTGTCAAAACACCTGGGGATTGATTTCTGTTAGACAAAAAGCAAATATCGGCCCTGGTATCTTTTTTCGGTTTCGTAGGCTGTTTTGGTTTTACCGTTTGGGTATGACTGGGCTCGATATAAATCGAAAGGAAGGCTGTTGCCTTACAGGAAAGCAGTTGTTTCCAGCTGAGACAAAAAAAGAGAGGGTGGCCACCTTTACGCACCGTGGCTGAGTTTTAACGTAACATTTCTGCACAGGATAAAAACTCTAAGACACGTGCTGTTCAAATGCTTTTATCTGAAAGCCAGTATTACAGCTAAAAATACCTTTAATATTATTCAAAAATAACATTTCACTGCATTTTTATTGCTTGTTTTGGGTGTTGGTTATAAAATGTGTTTAGTCTAAAAACACACAGTTGTATGCGTTTAAAGACGTTGAAGAGAATATCCACCATCCATCTTTTTTCATCACCAAAGTGGAGAGCGGAGATGACGTGCAAGAAAGCATTTTTACAATATTTCCCTTATTTTCCAGTGAGATCAAAAAGCAAACTCGCCCTATCATAATCAGATGATAAATGGCTGCTCTGTCCCGACAATAAACCTCGCCTGATTTATAGTCTTTTGAAATGATTTGCTAATTCTAGTGCTTAGACTGTTTAAACACGGAGAATTAGCTGTTTATACCTTTGCAAACAATCGGGGCTGATGCTCTTGATTAAATGGAGAGTTGATTTCTGCTTAATGAAGCTTAGAGAAACAGCCGGTGACTTCTTTTTGTCTTTTTCATTCATCACTCTGCTGCTTCAAACTGTCTGGCAAGCATTAGTTATCTTTTTTTCCTGATGTCACACTCAGGGTTTAAAAAAATAAAGTGAAGCCTTTTGGAAATATTTATCCTAAACTTGTGTTGCTATAAAGTACATTGCTGAAAATTCTGCATATTTTAGTTGTGTGGTGAAAGGATTTTCATGCCTCATGCTGAAGTAGAGAAGTTCCCAGAAAATGCATTCATAATAATCCAGACAGCCACCTTTCATAATTCTAAACAAAAGCTAAGTGAACTTCTAGCGGAGCACCTGGTAAAAACAAGCTTTAGTTGCAAAACAGCCTCTTTAGATACAAAAACATAAAATAACACCCATTTCTAGCTGCACGTCCACACCAAGTCACCAGAACACTCAGTCGCACAGCGTGCAATCAGCCCTGCCTTACCTAGTCAGAGAAGTGGCGCCTTGTTCAGGAGCTCTAAAGCCTTCTGTGGTGCTCCTGTGAAGAACAAAGCCACACCATAGCCCCGTGTTTTCGCTCCTCCGAGCTGATTTTCTCACATAACGACAAGCATTGTGTTTCATTAACATCTCCTTCTTTATATATATATACACCCTCGTGCCCTTTTCCTCATTCCTGATGATTATGTGCCTTGTTAAACATGCGGACCCAGGGAAGAAGAGGCGAGCATTGCTGAAGCAAGTGACGGGGCATCAGGGAAAATTATAGGCAATTTCACATCTCCAGATTAGAATAATGGGCTTGTGGAGTTGGACAGAGAAGAGTAGGACCTTTCAAACGGGGGGGCAATTATCATGCAGGCGGATTGAAGAGAAAGTGAAAAGACTCCTGGTGTAATAGACAGGCTAAAGAGGAGGGGGGTGGAAGCTGGGGTGGTGGGTTGAAGGGTAATGATAAAGCCAAGTCTGACTGTATCAGTGATGTGGATGGTCTGGGTTATCAGATACGAACTGTCTGATGGGTTTTAATTGCAGGATAGCAATAAGAGGGAAAATAGCTTGTTATTAAATCCCACTTGCTTTGAATGGGTGAATGGCATAGCAGGTCTCTGGGGTGATTATTGTTATTAACTTGAGTGATCTGACATCTCGGGTAATTGTGAGCAGCTTCCCTGTTAGAGAGAGTGAATGCATGATTTGGTTTCGTCTGAAGGAAGGCCTGGCTTACTCTGCGGCATGATGCACACAGAGTCTGGAGGGATTACAAACACAATGCAGGCAGAAAGGTATGTACACTGACTCACACTTAGATGCAGTGAATTCAATTCGAGCATGCCTGTGTTATCATAAATGAAAGTGTGGGAAAATATAGTTTCCTTTTCTCCTTTTCAGCATTTGACAGTCTTTAAATCCTGAGCTTTAATTTATAGGCCAAGGTAAGATGCACAAAGGTCTCCTCGTGGCTTCATCGGGTTGTGACGACTGGCTGTGAAGCATCAACACACAGCCCGGCCCAGCCATGGCCTGAGGTCAGGCAGGGTTCACAAGTCCACAGCTGTCAAGAATGCCTTTCTCCCATCATTTCGTCCACGTTTGCAGCAAAATGGAGAGCATGAGTGATCCTAATGCAGCCAAGGCCCAGCCCATGCAGGGACTCAGTGCAGGACAGCTGCTGAGAGTCTTTCCATGGATACATTTGAGTTGCCGACCTCCGCATCAACCCGTTTTGCTGCACCCTGGGGACAAGTGCTGACACCACACTGTTGATTGTTGCAGTGGGAAAAAGGAGAAGAAGGGTTACAGGGGCCTGAGCAACAGCTCTATTTAGGGTGCTGTGATGTCGTGCCATGCAGGATCACATTCAAGTTCAACAGTTCACCTCCACCTCCGTGGCTACTTACACTTGTTGATGTTTAGGCATGACATACATCGACATGTCCTACAGCCCACACACACAAGTGCACAAATGTTTCCCCTGACAGCTACGGCCGAGGCCCACACACGCTGAGGGAGCCGCTGAAGGGAGGTCACATGTGTTCTTGATGAGATTTCATTGATATTAAAAGGCAATAGTAATCATATTGCTTTTGTCAAATCAGCACAGGGCACCGACATGATGACTGAAGCCATAGGCAACTGGTGTTGGGTTCAGAGAAATAAGCCAAGAAGACATTAGGGAAACAGAACTGGGAGCTGTGATACATTTCACTGTTTACAGCAGAATTATGAGAGAATGTGTGTGAAGTCTGGCAGAAACTTTGAGGATAAACGTAATCTCTAAACACACTACAAAGGGTGTGGAAAAACACTTGGTTTTTATTACAGCTTAATGACAATAACGTGGGAAATATATCCAATATTTTAAAGTATAAACTCTTTTTCTACAGCCCAATACTTATTATTATAGCTGCCATTATATTTCTTAATATCCCTCAGATTTGCATTATGTGTGTCAATATAGCTGTGTATGTTTTTATTCTTTTTTAATAAAAAATTAAATGTAAAATAATTAAACAATTTGAAAACATAGTTTATATCGAACAACAACAACAACAACAACAACAATATAATAATAATAATTATTATTATTATTATTATTGTTTTATCCCTACAAGTTTTTCTGATTACTGATTATTATTAATAATAATAATGATTATTATTATTTTAGTTTAAAGCTCTTTTCTTATTGTAATTTGCGTTAATGTACTCTTTTCCAATATTGCACTTTGAGATTTACGTTTGGCTAATATAGCTACATTATCCAAGGTTTAATTTCCTAACATAAAACTATTTATTAATTAGAAACGAGAATTATTTTTTTAAAGCTGATATCAGTATTAAGCCTTATTGAAATATTTTTTTTTATTCCTGTCTCAGGTAAATTGAGAAATCAGCGAAATTATTTAGGGAAACCCGACATCATGTTGCAGTGAAGTTTCATATATTAACAGCTCCACTCATGGGGGCATACCATTCTTGTTACTAGAAGCAGTATAAAAGGTTATAAACCTCTCACACCCTTAGCCCCTGCCCCACCCTACGTTTTCGCTCAGTGCGTAATGGCGCTTTGGTGGTCCATGTGGATAAGCTCGCCATTAGCGGCTCTCCATCATGTCAGTTTTGGGCTGCATATTTAATAACGCAAGGTTTATGTGGCCAAACCGAGGTTATTGTCCACTGTCATTATTTATTAGCTGACGCAAGGGTCGAGGCTGGGGAAGGGGGTGGTGTGTAGTGGGGAAAGCTGTTTTTTTTCTTCTTCTTCTTTTCCTGTGACAGCCTTATTGTAGCTGTCACAACAGTCGCTGTCGTGTTTATGAAGCGTCTCTCAGGTGATTCATATAGGTGTTTTCCCCCAGCTTTTGTGAGCGCGCACACAGCCTGTTTTATGTTATCACCTGGGAAAGCCCTTTTGTGAGATTTAAAAAAAAGTGTCTTTTATATCACTGTGTGAATGACGGTAGCGAAGGCGAGGAAATCTAGTCTGCCAACGCAAAGGGAATGAATAAACCTTTAAACGGGTGCGCGCTCTCCCCCACACACACAAACGCGCTTGTGTTTTGTCGTACCTTCAATATTTGGCACTGTTTTCTTCCATTCTTATGCGCGTTCATACGTGCGTGGGAGATTCCCCTCGGAACAGTCTTGCTTCACCTAACCACCCCGCTCCCTCCCCCACTAACACACATACACACTGAACTCTTTCTTGTTATCTGGCAGCAGAATCGTAATAAAACTGAGTGACTCCAATGTGTCTACACGTCAGCGCGCCACTAAATCCCAAGAAAGCCGCACTGTACCTGCGCCTGTAACAGCAGACGCCTCTCGGCACAGATGTTGGCACTGGCCAGTTTAGAAGTTGAAATAAAGTTACGTAAAATATATATAGTAAATATATTAAATATACATTTAAAGCATAGGCCACCGCTT